CCTTGTGCCACGCCCCGGGTCACCACAGCTGAAAGGAAATAAACAAGGCTGTAAAAAATCTTAGCATATTTCCAGTTAGGGCGCGTGTACACATCTGGCCCACGGGCTGTGAGTTTGACAGCTGTAATCTAGATGATCCTACTGGAGTTGGCAGGTCAACAACTAAGTTGGCAGATCAAAGGAAGATAGTTGGCAGGTAAGAAACCAGTGGCACATGGATATTTTAGGAGACATTATATTAGAGATGCTTTATTAGCAGTATGAGAAAAGATAAGAGACTATCATTATTTGAAAATACCAGTCTGGTTATCAACTTTAGAAGCCTTTTCATATCCACAGCTATTTAAAAAGGAACACATAATTAGATATGATGAAATTTTAAACGAAAAGGGTGAACTCAAAACAAAGCAAGAATTTGATTTACAAGGGATAAATATAAATTGGTACTCGGACTTGCAAATACACACAAGGTATGAAAAAGACATTAAGATGACTGGGTTTTACATGGAATTGATTGAATTAGATAAAATCCTAACAGGCACTGATGAGAAGTTGATTAAAAAACTATGTGGTTATCTATTAGGAGTGAAGTTAGAGGATGAACAAGTAAAAGAAACAATGATTGCGTGGGGGGAAAATTTTGGATATGGAATAGATCTTGATAAATGGCAGACATTATGGTCTAGAAATTATAAATTAACTATGTCAATGGCCTATAAAGAGAATTTGTATAAGATGTTTTACAGGTGGCATTTATCCCCAATGAGAATTGCTAAGATGTTTGAAGATAAGTTGGGGAAGTGTTGGAAATGTCAGAAGTTACCAGGATCATATTACCACATGTGGTGGACATGCACAGAGACTAAAAAGTATTGGGCTAAAATACACATGTGGCTGGAGAAGATGATAAACAACCTATAGACTTAAAACCAGAGACATTTTTATTGGGAATTTTGCCTGAGAGTTATAACAAAGAAATAACATATTTGTTTATTAATATTTTAACAGCAGCTAGGATTGTATTTGCACAAAATTGGAGAAATGAAAAAATTCCGACAGAAGAGGAAATAATTAAGAAAATAATGGAATGTGCAGAAATGAGTAGATTAACAATGGTGATTAGAGAACAAGAAGAAAAAGACTATTATAAAATTTGGAATCTATTTTATGAATGGTTGGATAGAAGCGTAAAGAATTGAATTATAAAAGTATAGCATAACATATTGTTACTGATAAATAGATGAGTTAGATAGAGTAAGAAAATGAACTTGAAATATATTATTGAAAGTTAAGGACTTAAAAGTTAAGGATAATAGAATAAGTGACAAATGTGATATAAAATATTGATAAGAACAATTATAAATATATACAAGTTAAATATGTATGATATTATTTTGTGCATGAAGAAATATGTACTCAACTAACACACTGTGGAGCAGATAGGTTTTATGTTTGTTTTTGTTGTTGTGATAAAAATAAAAAACTTTTATTTAAAAAAAAGATTGCGAACTCAGAAAGGGGCAGTGACCGTTTTTGAAACTATATTTAAACCCCAAGTATTCCTATGAAAAATGTCTTCTGTAGCTCCACTTATATGAGATGTAAAACTGGGATGTAAACCATTTGGCTCAGGTAATTTGTATTCATCCAGGGTGGATAGGTATTCTCTTATTAATTCCTTGCCTATTTTGACTTGTTTACCTGTTCTAGCTCTCTTGATACTGCTTTTGATAGGTTGGGCTTTTTCTTCCTTTTGCATAAATACAGATGCAAATAATGAATTAAGCAGTTCTGCTACCTTTGATTTTCCTGCCATCTGCTCTCATTAGTAGACCTGTTGTTTCCTTATTGGCCTATACTAGTTGTGTTGTTATTAGTTCTACTATCATTTCTGTTGTTCATATCAGCTATTTATATTTGAATTACTTATCTGAGTTTCTTCTACTATTTCTACTATTGTTTGGGGGTCTTCCATTTTAATATTTTTTCTGAATCTCTTTAGTTCTGCATGCCTTAATATTTTATTTCTGGTAATATATTGTCATAAAAATAAAGAGGAAGACAAGACCAACCACAAACAATAATTCTTAGTTTAAGATTCAGAGGTTTATTTCATGAGCAATTTGAAACATGAATAGCCACCATAACATTAATTACATCAATAACCCATTGCAATGAGGTCGAGAGCTAGATCCAGCAAGGAATAGCTACAGCTAGTGGCACCGAACTCATCCCAAGACATTCTTTTTATACTTTTCTGCACTCATTTTACAACTTCTTTCTTACTGACAGTTTCCACATATACCCGTGCACATCTCAAACCTCTATCCATCAGCTGCTTTCAGTTCTTTATTTGTTGTGGCTTTGTCCTTCTATGTTCAAATACATTTATGAAGCTACATTCTTACAAAATCATGTTTCACAATTAGCAGTGCCTCAGCAGGAGTACAAATAGTTCTGGTACATTTTGAAATCATCTTATCTAAAACTTTGGTTCATGTCTCTTTATTCTGGAGCCCACTATCATCCAAAGGCCTTACTGATAGATCAATAGCCTATATTTTTGTTTCTCACAGTATTTACTTTGAATTGCTAATTGTTGTTCAGTGATGTTTGAATTTGGATAAATTCTTTTCCAAAGTTCTAACATTTGCTTTAAGTAACTCTGATTTGTTGTTAATATTGACAAGCCATAATGGTACATTTTTCAAAAACGGTATACTTCTGGGTTTTCTGGGTTTGTTATTCTTTCAGTAAACCTACAGGGTTAAGCTAGTTGCCCAGTCATAGGTCCTGGGTCCCTTTTATCGATAGGTGCCCAGAAACTCTAACATCCTTGCTGATTTTGGTGCCAACTAATCAGGTATGATGCTTCTTCTGTTCTCTCACTATATTAAATGGGTTGATGGATACAATCAATCTGAAACTTCTGCTGACACCTGTCTGGCATGGATGGCCCTTCTGGTAAAATACATTATGACTAGCATAGCAGTCAATCTTATCCAAGCATGGCAAGCCCCTCAGCCATAACATTCTTTGTTTATTCTTTGTGTTTTAACTCTGCCCACAATCCTATGGTGTGAGGGGATTATAGTATTATTAATAGCCATCAAGCTGTTTAGATGTTAACACACAACAGTACAATCTACAATCACAACTGAGCCCACAATTTACATTGCTAAGCAAGACAGTTGTTGAGTTTTGCTCCATTTTACAACCTTTCTTGCCACAATTGTTAAGTGAATCATTGCAGGTGTTAAGTTAGCAACACAGTTATTTAGTGAATCTGGCTTCCCCACTGACTTTGCTTGTGAGAAGGTCGCAAAAGTTGATCACATGATCCCAGCACACTGCAACCATGCTAAATACATGCCAGTTGCCAAGTATCTGAATTTTAATCACATGCCCATGGGTTGTGTTAAAATAGTCATGCATCACTTTTTTCAGTGCTGTTGTAATTTCAAACGGTCACTAAATGAATGGTTGTAAGTCGGGGGCTACCTTTAGTACATACAACATAAAATATGTGAGAAATTTTAGAACCAGGCCCCCAACTTAGCATCTGGGGATATTAATATTTCCTTGATTCCTGACAGGCTTTCTGGCATAAATGACTTTTCCCACCCCAATCCCATTCCCCAAACTGAAATCCTGCAATGCTGAAAGTGACCAACACAGCTTTTATTTCCAATTCATTTCACCTCCAAGTACTGTAGATCATAACACTTATAAAAATATAAATATGTTTATACATATAAATAATCATGTAACAGTACGGTGCTCTTTTGCTTGTTTGTCCCCTTATCTGGAAATATAAAGCATAAACCTGGGTAGTAGGAAGAGGCTAGGAAGTAGAATTCTGGTATAAGTTTGTAACTTCTAGCAGATAATTTGAGCAAATTAGCCTCTAGGAGTCATTTAGCAAGAATGCTCACAACATGTTTTCAAAATTCCAAATGTGTTCACCAAGGCAAAAATAATATGGAGTCATAGAGAATATAGGCTTGTGAAACTGGATTTCTTAGGCACATACCAGACTTATTTCAATAAATATTGTAAGTGGTTGACATTTCATCTAGGCCAAAGCAAGTACAATTTAAGACATTTGGATTATTTCCACCTTTTATTTATGTATTGCATATCCTATCCTTCCTCAACAATAGTCATGGCTTCCTCCTGAATCTGTATTTGCAAGACAGACCCATATCTGTGGGTCTAGGATAACTAACTGTGGGACAATTCAACACTGTATTGTTTCATTCAGTTACCTTATTATTGATGACCCCATTTTCATCAAAATTATCATCTCTTGTATTTCTGCATTGGCTTTCTTCAGCTCTAACCAGCTGTCTGCAAGGAATAATAAATCCTTCCATTCCCCACCATCCAGTCAGAGCTGAAGAAGCTTCTTGGATGAGAAGCCAAACGTCCTCAAATGAAAAACAAAACAAAACAAGAAAGTCCAGTTGCCTCCTGAAAAAAAAAAAAAAAAAAAAAGCACTTTTAGGAAAATGTTTTGTGGTGTTATTTAAGGCAACGATCCTATGAGCATATTTTAATTTGTAAATTGGTCTCGTTTTGGAGGAATGTTTTGTTTTTTTTTAGGCACAGAAAGGACGAGGGGTCGCTTCGTCGCCCTATTTGCAATATTGAAGGTCGGCTGCGCCACTGTCGCCGGGTTTTCTCCAGCCGTTTCTCCTCTCCTCCACCTACTCCAGCGGCGCCGACGGGAATGGGAGCCAAACACACAAAACAACAAGCAGGCGAGCACGCCGCTGCCGCAGTCTTCTTCCCTCCCGCTCCCGCTCGCGCCAACCCTTCCCCAGTCCGGTCTCCTTTTAAGTTCGATAGGTCCGCCAATCGTCGTGCGGATATGTCATCGCGTTCCGTTCCTATTTCTCGCCCCCCTCCCGCCGCCACAAACACAGCCAATCAGGTCTTCCTTTCGGTCTCCTTCCCAATGAGAGAGCAGCTCTAGTTTTTCTCCCTGCCCACCTCGTTTCCAGGGGTTGTTTCCTTGAAAAAGGAGCCTTGGTTGGCTGAACCGGATCACTCGGTGGACCGGGACCTTTGAGGCACGGTGTCTGGGTTGTAGAGACCGGCTCTTTTGGCGACGTGCTTCAGCCAAGGCTGTGGTGTTCGGGGCGCAGTGATGTCGGTCGCTGTCCTCCTGGTGGCGGCCATGGGGGTCGCTTTCGTGGTCTTTCTGCTGCTGCTCTACTTAGTGTCCCCGCTCAACCTCCCCAAACCAATGTCGTTGTCCGGGGCTCACGTTGTGGTGAGAGAATCTAGCCGAGATGACGGCAGACTTGGGGACTTGGGGAGGGAAAAGGGAGGCTGGTAAGAAAAGATGACATTTTGCGGTTCTGCTGGCAGATACTTAAATCCCTCTGCTTCCTTTTCCCGCTTCTCTTTTCTCACCCTCCCCAGCCTGGGTTACTTAATTAGATGCCTACTTATTCTTTGTGTTTTAACTATGCCCACAATCTCATGCTGTCAGTATCGGTTTCAAGATGCAGCCTTCCAAAAAAATAGTTTCTGGAATGGTTTGGGTTTACTTATTAAGTTGAGAAGGGTGTGAATGATATATTTTTAGCCTAAAGCGAAATACTGCAGGTCATCCTTGAATTCAATTCTTAAAGGGGGGGGGGAATTGAACCGATTAGGAAATGTGTTTTCAGAGTCTTTCTGATTCTCTCTCCCCTCTTTCAAGAGTCCCCACTTTTACCTTCTGTAACTTTTCACTTTACAGTAATAAATACTCAGAATTGTAAGAGCTTTTTTTTATTATTAAGGAAGCCTTTTGTGAAGGAAATGCAAGCTGTAAATCCTAACCAAGCATTCCTTAGCTGTATAGATGCTAATATTGAACACTTGGTGAGCTTAAATACAGTGTCACACATGCTTTAAAACAAATTAATCTTATTAAGTCACAAGTGGGTGTTGAACTTCAAATGACTTATACTTGCCAAAGCTGCATGGACACTTTGTGATTCTTTTACCAGGTCTGATTCTTGGGGTGAATTTATGTTGCAGGCCTGTGTAGACATTTACCATTTTTCTCTTCATCATTTCTTTCTTTTTTTAATTGAATAAGGACTGGGGGGGGGTCTTATAAACAATATTATTGTACAATCTTTTTCATAAAGAAGTGGGTGCACTGCTTTGCTGACCAGAAGTTTGAAATCTCAGCATATCTGGAGGGTACCATGTTGAAGAATCTACTTTATATACAACTATTCTCTGGGAGGCCTAAATAAATTTAAAACGTAATATAAGTGAGGAGAAATAATACCTGAATGGTCTAGACCTCCACATGAATCTGCCTCCCACAGGTTAATTTATTAATTTATTGAATTTTTCCCTGCCACAATCAAGGATACTCTCCTGAATTGTGTATGCATCCGAACAACACAAAACAAAATACCTGTGTTAGTGTAGGCAGTTTATGAGATCTTAGTATATAAAAGTCTTTTCTCAGATATATTTTTACTTTCTCCTTTTCCTGGATATGTTTATGTATATGTGGATTGGAGGAAACAAAGATCAGAGAAGTGAAATGTTTAGACTTGAGAAATCTGAATCCTAAGGATGCATAATGATAAGGACCTGCATAAAAACTTATTATTCATGTTTTAACAGCATGTGTAGGCTTTTTATTTACGTGAATGTAGTATATAAAGCAGAGCAGGTATTTCTAATAGGTTCAGAAAGTTTTCAAAGTGCACGTAAAATTTCAGTTTTTCAGACATGATGTCCATAAGCTAAACAAAAGTCAGAATCTGCAGCAATGGGTATAAATGAGGTAAATCCTTGCAAAAGAGCTCATGTTGCAATTTTATTTCTGTTCTCGCATTCTATTCTTTATACTTATTGTATTGATTTGCCACATTTAGTAGACATTTAATATATTTTTATAGTAAGTATCTGAAACCACTTTATATTCCACATGGACATACACCAACACTCTTACCAGTAACACCCACTTTATTATTTCTCTAAGGAGGTGTGATGGAATCAAACTGGATTTTCTTGTTTTGTATATATAAAGATTACCTTAAAACAACAGATACTTGATAGCGAACAACCCCCTAATTCCATTTCCTCAAAATAAGTTATTTTTTAAACTAAAGCAAGGAATGAACAAATGCAGTAGTAACTCATACTCAAATTCTCAAATCATTACATAAAGTTATGCAATAACATGGATGTCCCTCAAAAGAAAATTAACATTCAAAGGTAATCAAAATTAACAAGATTTTGGCCATTTTGTTAAAAATCTATATATTTTTAAACAATTAGGATAATATAGGGCATCTGTGAGCACAATGCAAATCCCTTTTCTTGGGTTATTAAGAAGTTTGCTGTTAAATGATACCATTTGGGCTGTGGATGTGCCAAGTTTGTTCTCACAGTAGGAGATTAGATGATAGAATGCAGTCTTTAGCTCTGTTCCTCTAGTAATATTCTCCATGTTGTAGTTCAGCTTACATGGTAATTAATTTCTTCATTTATTTGAAACTTATAAGAAAATCAAAAAGCAGGAAGAAGTGAAAATTTTCAGGTTTCAGTTCAGTTTGGTTACTAGAATTTTATGTAATATATTCACTGAAGTCAAGTTCTCATGAAAACCAAGCATGTTTTATACTGAAAGCCACTAGCGCTATGGAGTCTTGTTCATTTGGTTTTGTTATGCTTTTAATTAAAAAACTGGTTTGGATTTCCAACTTATAACCTGCAACTTCATCAGCATATTAATATGCATGTAATGCAAAAATACATGTACACATACTTTTGCATTTATCTAGTGGATCTAGTTTGCAAAAGAAGGTATACAGTAATGTAGAACTCAACCCCACACCAAATAACTTTCTTTTTAAAAAGATCTACTAGGCAGACAGTTGAGAACAGTCTTTGTCAGTTTTTATGTTTGGAATAAGATGGCCAGAGGCAGACACTGTGTTTTGTCTGAGTCAGACAAGCCACTGAGTGAGGCCTTGCAGTACTAATAGAATGGGTTCTTAAGTAACTGCTCTTATCCCCCATTGTCCCATCCAGACTCGGCCAGTAGGAGCTGTACCAGCATAAATTGAAATTATTTACAGAAATTGAACTTAATTGCAGCAGTCCAAGCCGGCAAACCATTGAAAGCAATGCTATTTATAATTTCCTTGTTTAGTCTCAAGGACGAACAAAATCAAGGAATCCTATAAAATATTACAGTCAAGACCAATGTAAAAATCAAAGAATTGTTTCAAACCTTAGAAGAAAACTTAGTGAATACAAGTAACAACGATGTACGGAATGGTCAAGAATTAGCTGATCGCATAAATTGTCTGATTATTAGGTATAAATACTGAGAATACAAAGAAATCAGATTGGCATTAAGAGTTGGTCTGAGTATGAGGTTCTTTAAAGACTTAAGTCCATTATATTAATCTTGGATATTATTACAAAATGTTTGTAGAATTTTTTTCATAGGGATTTCATTCTGACGTAATGGTAATCCTCAACTTATGATGACAGTTAAGCCCAAAGTTTCCATTGCTAAGCAGGGCAGTTATTAAGTAAGTCATGTGCCCTTTTACACCTTTTTTTTTTGGCCACAGTTGTGAACCATTGCAGTTCTTAAGTGAATCAAGTAATCATTAAGCGAATCTGGCTTCCCCCATTGACTTTGCTTGTTGGAAGCAGACTGAGAAAGTAGAAAATGGGGGTCACATCACCGCATTCTGGAGCTCTGCAACCTTACATACTTGTTGTCAAAACGCCCAAATATTGATCACCTGATCCAGTGGGTCATCACGGTGGATCACTGTAATGGTCATAAGTGTGAGAACCAGCATAAGTCATTTTTCTTCAGGGATGTTGTAATTTGGAACAGTCACTAAATGAACAGGTGTAAGTCGAGAACTACTTGTACAATATCAGATCTACTTGTACAATATCAGATCTATTGTGTTAATATGAATCCAGACTGTATACAATGTGCTATTCATGTGTTTCTTTGTGTTATTGGTGATTGTTTTTTATGAAGGAACCATGAGTCACTAAGTGGTCATTGTTTTGCTGTCAGATTTGTTTTAATTTGCATTCATTGTACAGTATGTGATTAAATCTATTGAACCTGTCCAGAGTTGCTCAACAGTGAGATGGGCAGCATATAATTTTAACAAACAGAAAATAAACAAAATCTTTAAGTGTTTGGGATATTATTTATCTCTATGGATAGCAAGAAATGTCTGCCTGTTTGCCTTACAAAAGTTCGTGGAGAAAAGGAAATGTTCAACTCTGAATATTCCTTCTTAGGGGTGCCCTTTGGGACAAGTTTCTGTAGCCAGGATCAAAACTGATATATTCTAGTATCACTTAAGAGTCCTGAAAACTGGTAGGTGGCTGAATAGCCATCTGCAGAATGAATTTTAAGAAATAAAAAGCTGATCAGTGTGTTGCCTTATGAGATAACTGTGTTCCAACTTTATTTTTCCAACTAACCAAGAAAAAAAAAGCCTTTTGTTCCTTTTTTAAAAATTCAAATCTACCCTCCTGGGATTTTTGTTGTTGTTGTTGAACTGGATTATTTAATAGATAATTTGGAAAATAACTGTAGGCAGGAAAGGATGTATAGCAGGGGATGATTCTCTTAATTTGGTAACTGTACACAGATGGATTCTTGTATATATTTGTATTGATGTATGGGATTCCAGTTCTCCTCTTCTGTTTATTACTTAATAGAATTGTCTTCAGTACAATGGATTGATAACCCATTGAGGTTTTATTAGGCCAGCACTGATGATGTTACCTAGTTTGGATAATGAAACATCTGCAAGAAAACAAGTAAGCTCAGACAGGACCAAGGACCCCTCAGAGGTTTTATTTCTGATTATTATTATTTTTATATCTCAGTCTATTCCAGGAGCTCAAGGCAACCTGTGTAATTTTCTCTCCTTATAACAGAGAGTTTAGAGTTTCCTAGCGTACAGGTAATCCTCAATTTATGACCGGTTGCCTAACTTGAAAGATTGATATTGAGAGTTTATATTTCTGTGGCATTATAGAAAGATTTGCCATGTTATAACAGAGCTTTTGTTCCTTTAATTTTAAAATATGTGGCATTGGTTTTTTTAAAGTTGCCACCTTGTTTATTTTGTCTTCATTTTAATTGAAAAACAGTTTTCAGAAAATGTTCAATTTTTGCATCATAGTTTACAAGTACAAAAAATGAAATCTTTTCCAATTTATATTCAGAAATAACATGGAGAAATATGTACTGCTAAATGTATATTTAACATGAAATTATTATACAAATTGCAAACTGTATAGATTTTTAAAAGGAAATATCAACCTTTATTAATCTGTCCTACATCATTTCCTTAAAAAAATTAGAATAAGGATTTATACCCTTTTGGATGCATTAAGAAATCATTTAACCTCTATGTTTGGTCTTGTAAATAATTGTTCTTTCAAGAAGAAAAATGTAAGACAACATATTTATAAAATTGCATTGAATAACTTTACATTTAGGTAGGTTTAACATTTAAAGATAAATCACAATAAATTTCTCGGCCATGGCAGGAACTAAATATTTCTGATTTTTGAATTTGCACAACAAATATGCAGATATGCCTTCTAGACAATTAAATGGTGGTCCTGATTGGCATCCTATTTCTCAGGAATAGCAAAATTAATTGGCAGCAGCAGTTCAAAGTAATAATACCTAAATGCATTATTAAAGGATCATAGTGACACTTTTAATTTAAAAAATAATAATTTATGATAAAGATGCACATAACACTTAAACAATCACATCTTTAAAATAGTGCAATATTGTTTACAAAGTGGGGGGTGGGGTTAGTCTCTAGAGGTATTTTTAATTGGTTTTAGACTGTAAGATTGTTTTCAAGCATAAAGTATGTATTCAAAAATAATCTCAGAGAGAGGATGTATGTCAGCAGGAAGATAGGCATGCCACAGGAAGGAAAACATATCCAGTTGTTCCCTACTTTTAGAATATTTATTTATAGTTAGTAAGCTATTATATTGACTTGAATCTACCTTGAACCAAACATAGTATAGATTTACAAGCATTTGTCTAGTGACCAAAGTTACAAGGGCACTGGAAAAGTGACTGAGGGCTGTTTTCATGCTTACGACTGTTGCAGCATCTTCATGGTTATGCGATCAAAATTTATATGCTTAGAAACTGGTTCACATTCTTGATGGTTTTAGTGTCCTGGATTATGTGGTCATCTTTGCTACCTTTTGACAAGCAAAGTCAATTCACTTAATAACTGTGTTACTAACTTAATAACTGCAGTTATTCACTTAACTGTGGCAAGAAAGGGTATAAAATGGGCAAAACTCACTTAATTGTCTCCCTTAGCTACAGACATTTTGGGTTCAATTGTGGTTGTAAATCAGCATCTACCTGTAAGGGATTGACAGGCTTTCTGGTAGAGTTAAGCGGGAGAGTAGTTCATAGGTTTGTTAATATGTGTTGTAGAAAAGGTTGAAAGTCATACTTTATAGCTTTCCCTTTTTATTTTCTTGCACTTTTTTATTTTCTGAAGTTTTATTTAGATTTCTTTTTTTACTTTATATAAAATCCTCAATAAATACAAATTTTAAAGAAGAAGAACTTTAGATTCCTAATTTGAGGTTACATAACTTTATGTCAATCTGCTATCTGTAATTTGTTGTGAGTATAGTTACAGAGAAATACCTTAATGCAATGATGTGCAAATATACCCCGACTATATCATATTATGACTTATAAACAGAATAGTAGATTAGGATGCAGATAGATTAATAGTGGATTAAGATGCACAATTCTATTAAATAAGTTGAAATAAACTTGATTATCCATGGAGAAAACCTGCAAGCATTTCTATTATTGTTTACCATCTTCATAGTATTAGTCATGGACCAGAAATGTCCCATTGTATATGAAAGGAAAATGCTGGTGGATGCAAGTGTGAGGCTCCCTACTTGGAATTCTTATCTCTAAGAGCTATACAATGACAGATTACTAACTTCATGACTTTAATCCATATCTTCTTTACTTAAAGGTAACTGGTGGTTCCAGTGGCATTGGGAAAAGCATTGCTATTGAATGCTTCAAGCAGGGTGCTTTCGTAACAGTAATTGCAAGAAACGAGGTAAATTTTTAAGCTTGTTTATTTAGTAATTGTCATGTTTTAAGCTAATTACAGGCTATTAAACAACAGTGATTGTAAGGCATTCATTAAATGCATTCTGGGATTCAAGCACTGATGGCTGAAAAAAAAATAGAAATTAAATTAGTAATAGCAAACCATAGCTGAATTTGTGGCATTTCTAGTGGGTTTTTTTAAAAAAATAAAGACATTACTCTTGTAAATTTTGGTCAGATGTAGGAAAATCAGGATAGTATCACATCGGTGTCAGCCATTCAAATAACAGGGGGCAACACTATAAACTGCTTAGAGAGGGCTGTAAAGCACTATGAAGCGGTATATGCTATTGCTAATTATAGAATGGTTTCTCAGTGCACAAAGAGCAATATCTTATACTCCTTTGTGCATGGAACTTAGCAATTCAGAGGACAAGGCACAGAGCTACTGTTTTTTTGTACTGCTGGTATACTTTTTCATGTGTGCCTGGTCCCAATCCACTGTCTACTGTCAAACTTCTATTTTGCATATGGAGATCAGCAGGTTTCTACTGCAGTTTTTCACTGTAGCCCCACAAGACTTAGGGGTGAAATGGTTCAAAATCAGCCACTTTACTTCTGTAATTCTACTGTATATTAAGAAGACTTTCTCATTCAGGGTGCTGCAAAGCACGAAGTGACATTAGCCATAGACTCAAAGAAATTGTATCCATTCCTATTGGAAAGTACCCACAGTTCTACAAGGTTGAACAACAGCATGAGCAAACAACCTCTATGGAACTATATCAATAGAGTCGGCAGAATAAGTGCATCTAGTCTCTGTATAGTAAGTCATCAAAGAACATTGTGACCAGTTCCAAAGCCAAGGCCATCTCCCCTTGCAGAATGAAACCTCCTGGCAGAGGTTGATTGATTATTAGATTTTTATCCTGCCTTCGTAGCAGTGAACATATATAATACTCCTTTCTCCTATTTTCGCCACAACAACCCCATGAGGTAGATTGGACTAAGAGAGTGACCGGTGACTGGCTCAAAGCTGACTTTCATGCCTAGGATGGGACTATCAGTTGCACTCACAGTCTTCTGATTTCTAGGCTAGAATTACACAACTCCAAAACATAGTTTTTTGTACTGTAGTTGCCATATCCCTCATCTCAGTCAACACCAAGGCAGCTAATATGTTCACAGAAATAGGCCTCAGAAACAAGCTCAGGTGAAGTTGTCAAGGCAATGTTCCCTTTTGGCCAGCTCTTCAACAAATGCTGCCTAGGACTCATAACAGTTGATCTTGCTGCAATTGTCACTATAGAGGCATTGTTTCTTTTCATTAACAGCTAGGAAAAAAAAAGTGTAGGAAGAAGCTGCTGAATGAAAACATTATGTAGACTCTGTTTGGTATGGAGATACTTACTGTACATTATATATTAAAAACCTTTTTAATTTTCTATTTTGAAATTTGCAATCTCCAGCATTTTATGATTGAATCAAGAAGCACACATGTATTTTAATTAAAAACATACCTCTAATAATAGAACAAGCAACAATACAAAAGCATAAATAAATATAACCATTTAAGAGCTGAAAATTAAATATTAATTTTTAAGTTAAAAACGTTAAAATGAAATACAAAAATAATTTTGTCTGCACTGGTGTGTATTTGATGTTACAATACTTTTTTTTTAGAATTTTGAACAGTATTGGCTAGAATTCCAGCTCTTAATAGATTTCATATAGTCCTGTGTTGGTGACATTGTGCCATTTACAGACTAATAAAGTAGGAATGCTCAGTACATCTGACCTATTTGGCATTGTTTAGAGCTGCATCTCTTCCTGGGCTAAGAAGGTAGCCACATGACCCCAGGAAAACATTTGAGTTAAGGAAGTGCTGAGAGCATACCACGCCTTGTGCAAAGTCCATTGTCCTACCCTGAAGGTGCCTTCTCAAACGTGAACATGTGGATAAGTTATAATAATGACTTAATGATGATAAGTAAAGGGCCAATTACCACTTCCTGTATTTTTGCTACCTTTCTGTTGTCATTGGAATGATGTGTCATGTGGATGCCTTATGATAATGATTGTTTGTTTCTTGGGAAGTAGAGATCTTAAGAATAAAGGTTATTCTACTGCAAAACCTGTACATCTTAATATGTCTCATGGAACACAATGAAACTTTTGAATACACATTGATGGGCATGTATTGCACATGAATGGAGACATAACTCAAGTCAAACTTCTGAAAATGGAGTTAAATGGTTAATTTAGTTCTAATTGGCTGAAGAAGTTCACTTACATAGTTATAGAACCACATAGTTATAGAGCAATACATTATGTATATATAGCAATAGTGCTTAAACTCATATACCACTTGACAGTGCTTTACAGCCCTCTCTAAGCAGTTCACAAAGTTAGCATATTGCCCTCAACAATCTGGTTCCTCATTTTACCCACCTCGGAAGGATGGAAGGATGATTCAACCTTGAGCTTCGTGAGATTTGAACTGCCAAATTGCAGGCAGCCAGCAGTCAGCAGAAGTGGCCTGCAGTCCTGCACTCTAACCACTGCACCACTGTGGCTCTGTCGTATAGATTTGTTAAATGCTAGATGGTACTTTTAAAAATAATTTAAAATATAAAAATTTAAATAATGCCATACTTTAGCACAGGGGTCTTCAAACTTGGCAACTTAAGACTTTCGAACTTCAACTCCCAGAATTCCCCAGCCAGCATGTTTGGAGATCCATGCTTTAGCATAATATTTTAATCGCAAGTCCAAGATGTGCTTATTTAATTCCAGAAACGTCTCTTGGAGGCCAAGAAAGAAATTGAGACATTTTCAGTTAATGATAAGCAGGTAAGTTTCCACTTTCACTTTTAACAATATTCCCTTCTCTCCACCCCTCTTCCTCCTCCTCCACACACTTAGAGTAAGTGTTGCTATCTTAACTATCAGATGGTATAGATAAAATGTGATGTAATAGTTTCCTCATGAGTTGTAAAACTAAAGTACTTTGCAAATAATTTCATAGATAATCTGAAGCTTGTTTGTTAAGGAAAAGGAAGTTCTAAATTATATAGCAGCCAGAAGGTAGAAGTACACATTTATTTTGAGACAGACATCTCAAAGTTCCCAGCAGTATATTTTCTGAAACTAATAGGATTTGCATCCTTCAGTCAATGTCTTTAAGGCATAGGGAGTTCCCATAATAATTCTATTATTCATGGCAGAAGAAACAGGCTAACCTATGTTATATTTTTGTAGTGAATAACCCATAATAAGTACCACAAGTCAACCGTGTAGGTGACAGAAAACCTTTGCATTGTCCTCCTGTTGTAATAAGCTTAATTTGTGTTTGGCCAAATTCAATTGTTCTTTAATTTGATTGCTTCCCGGATTTTTTTGCATTTGTTTTTCTAGATCTCCAATTTCTACTTGTAATGTATTATGTTGCCCCCATTTCTCCTTATTCCTTTTTGCGATGTTTTTTATTTTATTTATTTATTTTTGTCAATTGCTTACAAGATAATAGGTATAAGTAAAAACATAGTTATAAATACATGGATACATATAGGAAAAATAAAAAAAATAAAAGAAACAGTAGGACAGGGATGGTAGACAAGGGATGCGCTTATGCACGCCCCCTACAGACCTCTTAGGAAAGGGGTGAGGTCAACAGTAGACAGTCTAAGGTTAAAGTTTTTGGGGTTTGAGGAAGAAACCACAGAGTCAGGTAGAGTATTCCAGACATTGACCACTCTGTTGCTGAAATGTTTTGTATGCTCTAGTTATTAGTGTAATATTACCAGAGAAAAAGCTATGTAAGATTAGGTTAACAACTCAGCGCCTTTTTGGCTATGTAGTTACAGTGGGCTCTAGCGCTTAGGTCATTAGAGGGTATTATATATTCTTATTTATTCAGGGCTTATTAGATGCAGAATTAAATACTGATTATTCCTTTTTCTAATTAATGAGCTCTTGTCTGTATAATACCCTTTGAATTAAAAGCAGAGATGTATTTGTGTCTATAAGGACTGATACATCCAAAATTGTCCCTTAATGCAAAACATACTAATGACCAAGATGGCAGAATATATCACAAGCTAGTGAAAAGTCTAATCTCTACTTAGCTTCTATTTTAATAAAGAAACACTTTCTTTAAAGAGAACAGGTTTCCCCATTAAAGTAATATGGAGAGGACAGAAAAAGAAAAGAAAAAGATGGACATTGAACCCTCGGATACTATTAGAGGAACAATATATTCAAAAACTCTCTAATGAATTGACACTATTTTTCGATAAAAACAAAAAATAACATACATCATTGCAAACCCTGTGGGACACGATGAAGGCATGCACCAGGGGGGACGACAATAGCCTACAAAAAGACCTTGACTATGTATCAGTACTTGCTACCAGACTTACACATTTTTCAAACGAGGAGGGGATGATGCCAACTTAGTTTTAGTAGTGCTCAAGGCATGAATGTTAATGTTTATGACTCATCAGTGACACATTTATTTGCTATCTACAAATAGGCAGGGGAGTCTTTGTCGTACTGGTAGTAGGGTGTCATTTTTAAAAGAATTGGCTTTGCCTTCGAAGGCGAAGGGAAGGCAGCAACAGGAGTGCCTGAAGCCGAGTGTCTCCGTCGGGCTCCAGTTTCAGGGAGGAGCCCTGGCTGGCCGCGCGCGGCTGTGCCAAACGCCGCGGCGTTGCTTTAAACGCCGCGGCAGCATGGGGAGAAGGGAAACCAACAGTGGCGGAAGGTCTCCCGATATGAAGTGCCCCACCAACGCCGAGGTCAACGCAGGCAGCACCATATCCGGGTATGCAACAAAAGTACTTCCTAATGGCCAGCCCCCCACCATTCCCCCCCCCATTTCGCATGTTTAATACAGGCCTTAATTTGGGGGGAGGGGCTTAATTTGATTTTATGCCTATAAAGCATGCTGGGACTTCCTATTGGGGGAGGCCATATTGTTGGAGGAACACGGTAGTTTTCCTGAAAGTCTGTTTGTTTGAAAGCCAGTTTGGTGTGTACTGTATAGTAATGGTTAAGGTGCTTGCCTAGAAGCAGAAGACCAGTTCTCCTGCCATCTGAGGGATGCAAGTTAGCTGGGTGACTTTCACTCTCTCTCAGCCCAAACAACCTCACAACGTAATTGCTATGGGGGAAGTAGGAGGAGAAGGAATATTGTGTATGAAAACTTCCAGTGTTGAAGCACCCACAACTTCGGGAAGAAAGTTATTCCACTGATAAATTGTTCTAACTATCAGGAATTTTCTCCTCAGTTCTAGATTGCTTTTCTCCTTGATTAGTTTCCACCCACTGCTTCTTGTCCTACCCTCAGGTGCTTTGGAGAATAGCTTGATTCCCTCTTCTTTGTGGCAGCCCCTGAGATATTGGAGCACTGCTATCATGTCACCCCTGGTCCTTCTTTTCATCAGAGTAGACATGCCCAATTCCTGCAACCGTTCTTCATGTTTTAGTCTCCAGTCCCCTAATTGTCTTTGTCGCTCTTCTCTGCACTCTTTCTAGAGCCTCGACATCTTTTTTTACATCATGGCGACCAAAAGTGGATGCAATATTCCAAGTGTGGTCTTACCAAGGCATTATAAAGTGGTATTAGCAAGTCACATGATCTTGATTCTATCCCTCTATTAATGCAGTCTAGGGCTGTGTGGTTTTTGCAGCACTCTGCTGGCTCATGTTTAAATGATTGTCCACTAGGACTCCCAAGATTCCTCTCATAGTTGAGCCAAGTACCACCTATATTATACCTGTGCATTTGTCCACAATGGTACAGGTTTCCTGCCTGAGCAGGGAGTCGAACTAAAAGACCTACAAGGTCCCTTCCAGCTCTGTTACTCTGCTAAGTAATAAGGACAGGATAAAAATCAAATATAATAAACAAACATACTGTTTAAAGTCATATTTTATATATGGTAACATAGGGTAAATATATATTTTATAAGTTTTTTTTATGCAAGTAATAATTCTATAACTTCTTACATAATACGGCATTTGGGAAGGTAGAAATAATTCAAAACAAATAAAATAGTAATTTAAAATGGTTGTAAATTATGAAATCAACCATTACATTCAACATTACATTCAGTTGAATGAGGTCATATAATTCTTCATATTTTTTTTCTCATATAGGTTGTATGTTCTATTTCTCTTGATGTTTCTAAAGGTTATGCAAATGTGGAGAAGTCGCTTAAACAAGTAAGGGAACTGCTGGCTTTTATAAAGCTCATATTTTCATGTTATGATAGAGATACTGTATTCTAATAGTAGCATATAATTTGTGACACCAATATCTCTTAGGCTCAAGAAAGGTTGGGTCCTGTTGACATGCTTGTTAATTGTGCTGGAACATCAATAACTGGAAGGTTTGAAGAAATCGATATCTGTAGGTTTGAGGTAGGTAGTCCTAGCTTAAGTCTTAAATAAATCCTTTTCTGTTGCATTAGATTGATCATTTATATCTTATGTGGAAGTGAAGTTACTAAAAATTAAAACTTTTAAAGGACAACTTATATAAATGCATCTGTACCAAAATTATACAAAATAAAATATTGAATGTTAATCTATATAAAGCAGGCATGTCCAACTGTGGCCTGTGGAGGATAGCATGTGGCCCTGGATTATTAGCTAGTAATGAGCCCTATAGAATTGTAAACTTTTAACATGATGTTGTGCATTTATATATGTTAACTATATCAGAGTTCTCCAACCTTTTTGGCTTTGCAGTCTGACGGGGGAGGGAGAGAGAGGATGGTCCCATGCGCATGCAGCTCCATTTGTGTGAGCAGCAGGCACGCACATGGTTGCTCATGCGAGTGGGGATGTGCACACGGTCAGCCACTGTGATAACCCAAGGCATGGCACAAAGGCAACACAGTCACATAAATAAGAAGAGTCCCTTTAGTACCTCCAACTTTGCTCCTAATGTCCAGGTTACCTTCAGCTAGAGAAAAAACTCTCCCAAGAACAGTCTTGAAGTGGAGGAAATTCAGTCCAAAAACAAAGTACATACAAACTGTAAATAAAAATCCACACAAACCACGCTACAGTAATTAACTTGACAGGGCAGGAGAAGGAATTGCAGACTTGAAAGGCTAGCAAAACACACAGAGTTGGGAAAACGCCAGGAACCCAGATAAGTCTCGATACCAGATAATTCACAATTTGCTCCCAACAACTTTGCTGTGCGCAACTTCCCTTTTTAAACACGGCATTCTCAGCTGCAGCTATAGAAGGGAATCAGGGCCCTTTCCTCCCCCATAAGCCATGCAACTCACATTGCTCCCTTCTCCGTTCCTCCCTGCATGCCCTAGGATGAAGAGGGGGTGGGCCTGGGTCTTCCTCCGAATTCTCTCTCCCTTGCTCTACCTCTCCCCTGCTTTGCCCAGCCGGCCTTTGCCCTTCCCCAGTGTCTTTCACAGCCAACGGAGTGACACTCTCACTCCCTGTCAGCTGCTCGGTCTCCCCCTCCAAATCAGATTCTGATAGGGGCATGATACACTACTTACGCAGGTGGTGATGCACATGCGGTTGCCCACTGCTTGTGCAGGTGGGGATGTGCATGCACGCGTGGTCGCCCATCATTTCTGCGGCGTGGTTCCATAAGACTCAAGGCCAGGTAGTGGGCCACGGCCTGGGATTGGGGAACCCTGAACTATATGGTATATTTTCTATCTGGCCCAAGACAATTCCTCTTTACTCTGTACAGCCTAGGCAAATCAAAAGGTTGGACACGCCTGATATAAAGTATACCTGAGATTTGTTCTATTGTTACTACTTATATTGAATCTTTCCTACTTACATTATAACCTAATAAATATTCTTGAATATTTTTATGTGTAAAGTGTTTCAACATGGAACCAATTGTTGAAAAATTTTTGTGGATGTGTGGGGTATTAATTAAGAGAATATATAACTGTCATTTTTAGAAGAGGGGACCAGGTAGATACTGAATAGTTTTATAGTAGTTTCTCATTGCTTCAATTGGTAATGCAATACCTATTGTTGAGAATGAAGTTAGGTTGCTTATAACTGTAGTAATAAACATGGGAAACTGACTAATAGTGGCTTTCCAGAGCTACACTTTCAAGTGCTTTCTTGAAAGCTTCTTCCTCTTGGCAGAAAACCCAAGAACATATATCCCATTTGATATCAAAGTGGCTATAGAACTGAGGGCAACACACACCATGGAGTATTTTATAAGTTTATAAACTCAGCACATTGCATGGAGCAATATTTTGTAAGTTTTTTATTATAGGTTTTGCATTGGATTATGCTACTATGTAATTTGGATTAAGTTTGCTAAAACCTAAATGTGAAGTTACAGGCTACCAGCATACCTGTTTTAATCTACCTATGCATTAATGCAACCTGTGCTTATTTTGTTATGAAAGCAGCTGACACTAATGTATGTTTATCTACAGCAATTAATGGCTATCAACTATCTGGGTAGTGTTTACCCAACTCGTGTAGTGGTTGGTAAAATGAAGGAGAGAAGAATGGGGAGGATTGTGTTTGTCTCATCTCAGGCTGGACAAGTTGGTGTTTATGGATATTCAGCTTATTCTGCAACAAAATATGCTCTTAGAGGATTAGCTGAATCTTTACTTATGGAGGTATGATTATCTTTCACCACCAATATCTATGGTACTTAAAGATAATAGTCCTAAATTGTTATAGCAGTAGCACTTAAACTTGTATACTGCTTTTTAGTGCTCTGTGGTTCTCTCTAAGCCCCTCTCTGATCTTTACAAAGTCAGCAACTCTCCTATTTATTAAATATTTCTCAAATACCATGTAATTCATTCAACACAATATTGATAAATTACATCTCTTGCATTCTATGCATTCCATGGCAATGCTAGTTGTCTCAGTCTGGCAACAGAATAATGATACTTTTCCAAAGTAGTTGTTGTTAATGGCATGAAAATAAACTTTCCCTGTTGTGTAGATGTATTCAAATAGATATGTCCAGGTTCAAAAGTAAGTCCCCCCCCCTTTTTTTAGCATATAAATGAATAACTATATCCTCATAACTCAGCATCACTTCTTATGATAAAATAATACAATTTGACATCTTTAAAAAACACAAGCAGAACATTGGAAGGTTGAAATTATGGTTCATGTTCAACTCTTAAGTTCATAGTTTTACTGTTTTATTTTATAACTTGCAGTAAATATCCCAGATTTTACTGGGATTTATATGTTATATAGCCCCAGTAATATATCTTACTTGAATCATTGATTTAATTGGTAGCAACAAATATCTATTAGAATAAATTATGAAATAATTGTACAGAGTGCAGGCTGAGCAGTACTTATGGAGTATAACTTGGCAACTATAGGGCAAGTTATGCCTTTTCTTCCATCTCATCATCTATTTTTAGGTAAGATTAATTAGCATGGAACTCTCAGACAACTATAACATAAACAGAGTGTTTTTCTCAACAGCTAAAGCCATATAATATATATGTGACCATTGCCTATCCTCCAGATACAGACACACCTGGCTTTGCAGAAGAATGTCAGAACAAGGTAACTTCTTAGTTTCTTTCAATCAAATTCCAGATATACACATCAACATGTTTCGTCCAAACTCATTTTATGTTTCATAACAACTCTTATTATGTACACAACGTTGACCACAGCTCTGATAACTTGTATTTATTTTATTCTGATCTACAACAAAAGTAAAATCCTGTATCCACAGGTATTTGGCTTACTTGCAAGTAAAAACATTTGCAAAATGATTGTATTAAATATTGGGTTTATCTCTAATTAGACAGTGAACATTCCAATTTTTCCCATTATTAGCACCACAACGGTATAATAACTGCAAGTATCTGTCCTACCATGAATTTGAATGTGTATCTCTGTTCCAAAATCTAACCCAAAATATTTTTCATCAGAAAAAAATGAGTTTCTTGCAACAACAAAAAATCCTACCTTTTAGAAGTTTTGTAAAAAAAATATTTCTTCTATATCTAATTCTTGACCCTTTAACATTCTTGATTTACAAAAGCCTATGTATTTTAAAAAAGAAAATATATGATTGTATTTAGTTATAAACAATATTCTAATTGAAGCTTCATATTATTTAACAAAATAAATTTAGATAAGAAAAACTTAAACTGAAGATAATATATAATAATCACAAAATCGGAGGCCACTATAGCCATATTTAAGAGCAACAAAAACTTACAGAAAAGTGAAGCAAATTAAAAAATGAATAAAACTTACATTTTTTTAAAAAGGGAAACTATTAATTTTTATTTGATTTATTTGATTTGTCAATCGCTTACAAGATGATAATCATAAGGATAAACATAGTTATGAATATATGAAATGAATACATATAAGAAAAATAAAAGAAACAATAGGACAGGGATGGTAGGCACGTTGATGCGCTTATGCACGCCCCCTACAGACATCTTAGGAAAGGAGTGAGGTCAATAGTAGACAGTCTAAGGTTAAAGTTTTTGGGGTTTGGGGAAGAAACCACAGAGTCAGGTAAAGTATTCCAGACATTGACCACTCTGTTGCTAAAGTTGTATTTCCTGCAATCAAGTTTGGTGCGGTTAACCTTGAGTTTGTATCTATTGTGTGCTCTTGTTATGGTTGAAGCTGAAGTATTCATTAACAGGTAGGACATTGCAATGTATGATTTTATAGACTATACTAAGATAGGACCGAAGATAGCGTAGTTCTAGGTTTTCTAGGTCTAGAATTTCAAGTCTGGTGGCATAAGGTATTCTGCAACGAGTAGATGAGTGGAGAACTCTTCTTGTGAAATATTTCTGGACTTTCTCAACTGTTAATATCAGATACGTGATGTGGGTTCCAGACTGATGAGCTGTATTCGAGTATTGGTCTAGCAAATATTTTGTATGCCCTAGTTAGTAGTGTGATATTACCAGAGAAAAAGCTACGTAGGATTAGGTTAACAACTCTTAATGCCTTTTTGGCTATGTAGTTACAGTGGGCTCTAGCACTTAGATTATTAGAGATGAGTATTCCAAGGTCCTTGATGGAGTTTGGATCATCAACAAGGTCTTGACTATTCAGCTTGTATTTTATTTTCTGATTTTTTTGCCAATATGTAAGACAGAGCATTTATTCGTTGAGATTTGAAGTTGCCATTTGTTTGACCATTCTGATACATAGTCAAGGTCTTTTTGAAGGGTAGCAATATTGTCTGTGGTGTTGAATAGCTTTACATCATCAGCGAAGAGAACGCAGTTGCTCTTAATATGATCACAGAGGTCATTTATGTAGAGTATGAAGAGAGTTGGTCCTAAAACACTGCCTTGGGGTACACCACTGTTGACAGGTACAGAATTTGATAAGACACTCCCAATTTTGACCATTTGTTGTCTGTTTGACAGGAATGCAGTTGTCCAGAGATACCATAAGATTTTAGTTTTAATAGTAGTTTGTCATGTACCACTGAATCGAAGGCTTTACAGAAGTCTATGTATCTATTGCTTTGCCCTGATTGAGTTGAGTAGTCCATATGTTTTTACAGTGTAAGAGTTGCAGATTACAGGATAGTTTTTTTCTGAAACCAAATTGTTTATTGGAGAGTAGGTTGTTTGTCTCTAAGTGGAGGATAATGGATTGGTTAATAATTGATTCCATGACTTTACAGGTGACGCAGCATGAGGGAATTGGTCTGTAATTTTCAACTAGGCTGGGGTCTCCCTTTTTGAAGATGGTGATGACCGTGGCTTGTGACCATAGGTTAGGCAAGGAGCTGGTCCTGAAAGATTTTTCAGAGATTATGCTTAAAGTTTGGCTATGGCAGTGCATAGCTTTTTTAAGAAGTAGGCACATATTCCGTCCGGTCCAATAGATAGAGATGGTTTTAGATTGCGTAGTGCTTTTTCAACATTGTCTTCTGTAAAATCGATATGTATTAGATCATTGTAGTTGTCTGTGGTTCTACTAGGAAATACTGGGCATGATGCATTGCTGTTTACAAATATTGAGCCAAAGAATGTGTTAAAGAGGTTGGCTTTGATGGTGTCATTATTGTAGTCTTTACCATTAGGTCCTTTCAGGGGTGGGATGGATCTTGAGTCTTTTAGTTTGTTGTTTATAAAATTGTAGAAAGCACAGGTGGAATTGGTGTGTAGAAGGTTTTTCTCTTGTTTAATGTGATAATTGGTGTATTCAGTCTTTATCTGGTGGCATAAATTTTTGTATTAGCTTTTGAAGTTGGCAAAGTGACCAGATTTGTTTTTCCGCCAAAGTGATCTTTTTTTTTTGATTGAAGCTTCCTTATTGTTATGGGTAATCTGTTTTTTCTGGTTTTGGGAGTTGTTATTGGTACATATAGTTTGATGACTCTTTTGACTTCAAGTAAAAATATGTTGTAATGGTCTTCAACAGTATTGCATCCAGTGAATAGAGATTGCTAATCAAGTGATGATGACCTACAAAGATTTCTAGCAGAGACTTCTAGCGCAGGTATATCATTCTCTCTTCTCCCAGAGCTACACAAATGAGAGAAAGGAAAAACAATAACAAAATGGAACGGAAGGACAAGAAGCACTTTCTGCATCCAAGCTCTGCAGCAAAGGGAGGTACTAAGGCAGTAAATGTCTCCTCAGTATCCCCCACTCCACCCAGTGGAAACGTGACCACAGTCAGGCCAGCTTTCTGAGGTTAAGTGGACTGCCTCACAATATTGTAGCCTGAACACTTTGTTCTGCTCTTTATTGATTTTATATGACACATGTACACAGGTAGATTATTTTTTAACATATTGAGCCTAGCCAAACCTATCATGCTTGCAATGTCTAATCATGCTGCAGTAACAGTATAGTTGGTGTAGGGTAAGAAAGTTCAGACTAGTAGGATATAGTATTTTGCTTCTATATGCAGGTTGTCCTTGACTTAACAAGCAAAATTAAGCCCAAAATTTTTGTTCCTAAGTGAAAAATTTGTTAAGTGGATTTTTCCCCATGTTGGGACTTTTCTTGTCACATTTGTGAACTGAATCCTTGCAGTTGTTAAACTAATAACATGGTTGTTAAGTCGGTCTGGTTTCCCATTGACTTTATTTGCAGGAAGACTGCAGAGGTTGATCCATGACATCAGGACACTGCAACCATCATAAAGGTGAGTCAGTTTCCAAGCATTTGAATGTAAATCACGTGACCATGGGGATGCTGCAGTGGTCCTAAGTGTGAGAAATGGTCATAAGACACTTTCTTCAGAGCCATTGTAACTTTGAATGGTCACTGAATGAACTGTTGTAAGTCGAGGACTACCTGTGCTTCAATGCAAGTAGTCCTTGACTTAAACGGTTCATTTGGTGACTATTCAAATCTACAACGGCATTGAGAAAAAGTGAGTTAGGACCATTTTTCACATTTACAACCATTATAGCATCCCTGTGGTCGCCTGACCACAATTCAGACATTTGACAACTGACTCATGACGGTTGCATTGTCCCGGGGTCATGTCTTCACCTTTTGTAACAAGAAAGATTGTAAAATGGGGCAAAACTCACTTAACAAATGTCTCACTTAGCAGCAACAATTTTAGACTCAACTGTGGTCATACGTTGACGACTGCCTGTATCCAGGAGGCATGTTCTGCCTGCTAAAGATGGAATGCAGGGGGATTGGAATAAGGCCCCCAGAAAGAGAAGGCCTGAGAATCCAGCTTCCTCCATCATTCTGAAGGGCTAATCAACCAACATTTTTATCAGCACCTTAGCTCTTACTAGCTTTCATGCTTGCAGCCTATCCTATTGCTTCTCACAGTAGCTGCTTCCTAGCATGCAGGCACTTTGTTCACTTGGATGGGGATTGGTGCGTCCAACTGCAAACTGGCAAAATGCCTTTTGAGAATGAAACACTTAAAGAAACAGTCTAACGTGCCTGCTTAGCTACAGTATATGTCTTGAACTCCTCTCACTCTTCCACTTTTCTTTCTTTCAGGTCTGCTGAAAAGTAAGATAGGTTTTAAGAATTTGAAGGGGAGATGCAGTTTTTGAAGTTCCATACATTTTCTTATTTAGATTTATTTGCTAGCACTATTTATATACTGCCATATTCCATTAGTCTCCAAGCCGTTATACTGGAAATAAAGGGGGAAGGGGTGGGCGGAATCGATTTTTTTCCTTCACAATCCAGCTGCCCACGATTGCTATTTCTGTTCCCTCCCTCCATCTTACACTTCTACATTCTGGAAGTTGTGCACAGATCTGTGTGCATGTGAATGCATGTACATGCATGTTCAAGTATCCAGTTATATAATAGATTGTGCTTTTCAAGATGGCGTCTCTGTCTCTGTCTCTACCTCATCTCTGAGTTATTCAGATTTCTGTTTGGCAGCCGAGATCCTAACTTACATAACTTTTGAAATAGGATCTGTAAGAAGAAAACTGAAGTGGGTGTTATTACAGCACGCCAAATTCTGTTTACATTGCAAAGAAAACCACAGTCAACTTTAATTAAATGAGAGGGAGTTTTCTATGGGCATAAGGAAAGTTAATGCAAACTGCTTTTCATGAAAAGGGAGAGGACAACTTGAATTCTGCTGAGTTTTGAAAGTTCACTGCATGGGACTTTCAGGAAAGAAATGGAGAACAGGAGAGTCAATGATTATAGTGGAATGAAGAGCTGGCAAGTAGACTGGCTTTTTATATAAGTAGTCCTCGAGTTATTACTGCTCACTTAGTGAATATTAAATGTTACAGTAGATCTCCCCCTCCCCATTTCCACAGTCCCATTACTGCATTTGGGCATTTGGCAACCAGCCCACACTTACAGCCATTTGCAGATGTTTTTGCCAAAAAGTGCTATTTGCTTCCAGTTTCAGTAAAAATGCCCCATAGCTGTGCTGCCCTCACTCACCCACAGAGTCAGATTTGGTGTGCAGAGCTTTATTCTGTCCGTTCCCCCAACTTCAGGTTTTCAGTTAACCTCCAGCTGCAAGCTTAGCACAGTAATTGGCTCTCAACCAAGTAGATAACCAAGAGCAAAACAAACTTACATTCAAACCTAAAACAATCTTGGAAATAAAGGTTTTGCCTGGGTAGGTTCCAAAAAAAAAAAATAGCCCAAAACTCCTCCAAGGTCCGGGGCCTCCATGAGGTTTGTCAACAAGTCTGGTGGTCCAGTTTCAGGGCTTGCAAGGAGAAATCATGGGAATTGTCCAAGCCAGGAGTTCATGAGGCCGTTTTCAACGAAAGCCAGTCATGAACAAGCTCCACACTAACCTTTCAGGCAATGGCCAGTTAGTCCACCCAACAGATAACCATCTGTTTGAAATAGAAACATTCTCCACAACTGAATTACATCCATGAGCTGCAGAGTTCCAGAAACACAACCAATCAACTCGCCACGCCCCATGCATGTTGCTTCCAGCAATGCCTCCCTCTGCCTGCTGTGCTAAATAGCCCGTCCCAGTGTAGCCCATTAAGAGGAGCAGGGCCTTTCCCCCATCAATCTGGCAGATCTCCGCCTCTCTGTCCTATATACTCCAGCATCTACCAAGGCCGGTAGCTCCTCCTCTTCCTCATTGGCTTGCGAGCTCTCCCCAGCCGAGGCATGTTCTGTCGGCAGTTCAGGGTCAGCAGTACCGGATGTGCCAGGAATGCTGTCTTACTCCCTCAAGGCCTCTGAGGAAGACGTGAAGGAACCATCATCTGCAGGAGACAATAGCAAACAATGGGCTTGCTTAACAACCATGGTATTTTGCTTAATGACTCCTGCACAAAAAGATTGTGAAATCAGTCCATCACATGGGTAACTCATTTTACAATTTTCATGACTAATGACCGTAAAGGCCAGACTCTATTATAGTCATACTGTAAATCAAGGACTACCTGTAATTCCTCTGGTCAAGAACTTGCAATCGGCCACAAATGCTCCATACAGTTGTTTCTTGTTTCTTCAATTGTCTTGCAATCTCCATAGCAATGGCCCCCAACCTTTTGGGCACCAGGGATCAGTTCCATGGAGAGGGGCTTTTCCACGGACCGGAGGGGGTCGTGGTTTTACATGATGCCTGCATCCAGCGGATAGGGCTTCGCTTGTTTGCCCGGCCCAGTTTCTGGCATGCTGCAGACTGATGCCAGTCCACAGACCAGGGGTTGGGAACATCTGCTCAAGAGGATTTAGAGCTATTGGAGATGACCCATCTTTTTCCTCAAACCATGTTTGGTGCCTTGGAAAGGAACACTGGGTTCACACACTTCCACATACTAATCACTTTCAGAAATTGCTTGTTAACTGCTTTTCAGCTATTGGGATTGAGGTTTTAAAGCACCGGGTACATTTCCATGAATCCTTAGCAAAAAAAATTAAATACAAGCTTAAGGAGTGAGAAAAAAAATTCGGAATAAATAACAAAGGGGTGATTTGAATTTGGAAAGTTACAAACAGACTAGGGATCCAAATGGATTTGAAATAAGGTTTTGAAAAGCATTCTTCCTGTGGATTGTATATAAACAAATGAAGATTTTGTAGTTAGGTATAAGAAATCTTCCCCATGGGAAAATGCTGTTGATTAAAAAAGAAAAGATTTTGAAGGTTGGAGTCTAAAGGGAATTTAAAAAACCAACTAAAATTAATAATTAAAAGAAGAAGAAATCCAGAAACAGATTGAAGCAAAATACTTTTAACTTTGGAAGAATTCAAGGATATTTGGGAACAGTGCGCTCAGAACTTTTAAGATTGTCTTCTACCATAAAAACGGAATTTAAAAATGTTACAGAAGAGGAACAGGTTTTATTGTGCAAGATTGAGATTCAAATGTGTTTTTTAAAATATCAGACCACAAGAGTGATATGCAAAAAAATGTTACACTGGATTTACAAATGAAACCAGATGATGTCTTAACAATAAATCAGAATATACAAGTAATAAACCAAAGAGTGACATAGATTAACTTTTCTACATTGCATTTACAAAAGAGAGTTACATACATACACATATACACAAACTGTTTTTTTCTTTTTCTGTAATTTCTTTTTTGTGTGTTTTATTTTTTTAAGTTATATTAGTTTATGTTTTAATTGTAATATTTAATAAAATATCATCAAACATAAAAGTTCTTTTAAAAAAAGAAATAAAAAGCTTGCTGAGTCATAAAAAAGGAATTATCCCTGCGTGCAGATTATAGAAATGGTCAGTGGGCATTATAAAACACTTCATTATTTTCAGTTTTACTCTCAGGATCGACAAAAAACAAATAATATATTTTAGGGTTTAAGATTGTTGTATCATTCTTGATGCATCTGTTTTATTTAGCAGAAAGATTTCAGATGGGTATTTTTTATGGCTAGATTTGTCAATACATTTATCTTTTATATACATATGATCTTTGTATTTTTATTTAAGGTGTTAGAAACCAAGCTTATTTCAGAAGCGTCATCAATCTGCCAACCTGACTATGTTGCCAAAATTATTGTTAAGGATGCTGTTGTAAGTAAAATACTGCATTTTTCCTGGTTGACAAGCAAACATGGGTGGATTATTAGTTGGAGAAAAACAAAACAATTATACTTTTCAGAAAATTGATTCCATACATAGTAACTTTTCTCTCTTAGTATCAAAATTAAATATTTTAATACTATAATATTGAGTAGCATCAGAGATGTAGCACTTTACATTGTTAATTTAAAAACTATGTTCCAAAGGGTATCAAAATGGATATATACAAATTTAAAAAGAAGAATCAAGTTGGGACGGCATTATTTGTTGTATATATTTTATTTGTTCTTTCACCCAAAGTTCGTTCTTCCATGTTTTACAGTACAGTTTACAGTTAACAGGCTTTCCATTTTTACTTCATTCTTAATTGCTTATTCTGATAAATCCACTTTCCTTGGTTATGTATACACAATACCATTTTACTTTATAGAAATGCCCCCATAAAGGTAATACGTAGTTGTTCACATGAAATTAACACTATATTGTTTGAAGTCTTCCTAAAAATAAATCATTTTGATGGAATTGTTTTGATAATCTATTGGTGTTTTGTTTTGTTTTATGATTTCCCACAGCAAGGAAAATTTACTAGTTCTGCTGGTGCTATTGGTCACATGCTGACAATATTGACTAGTGGAATGGCCCCAGTTTCTTCCTTTGTTGAACTCCTAGAGTCGGTAAGAAACAAAAATCAAGATAGAAACATCGTTTTTGGAATTATTGTGATGCTTTGTAATGGTCGAAGTCAATGATGGGGGTAAATCCAATATTTATAGGGTTAGGGTTGATCTTTTTCATAAAGTTCCATGAAACTTCCTTTTGCTTTTCTCTAATTTGAATCTTTCTTCCCTTTCAAGTAGTAATTCATAGCTTACAGTGAAAGATAAGGCATGCCATTTATTCCTGATTGAATTAAATTCATATTTATAAAATACGTACTCATCTGTAGTTGAGGTTTTTTTTTTTTAAATAGCAACACCATCACTCAATTCAAGAAAGTAGAATATTTGGTCTGGTAGGCTAAGGTTTCTCCTCTCCACTTAAGAATTGTGCCATCCATCCCAGTGTCCTGCTGCATAAACAAACAAGTACAGGACAGAACCAAGTAAGTTAGCCAAGCATTTTTATCCGAACAGGAGAACAAAGGTAATAGAACAAGAGTCATGCAGGGACATATAGGGTTTGTGTGGTATAATCTTTTGGGGATTTAAATTAAGCTCTTGGACTTTCATTTCTCTACACCTGATTTAATCTGTAAGAATTGTGAAATGCATATTAGGCAAAAGATGTCTAATTGCATATTTCCTTTGCATATAATAAAGTAGGTGATTTTTGCATTTAAAAAAAATAAAACATTGAATTAAATGTGATTCTTTCTCTCACAGGTTATGCTCATAGGCATTTTTCGCTTGGCCAGTCTGTTTTTTACAGCAGGTTTTGACAGCATTGTTCGTCGTTGCATGATAGAAAAAGAGAAATCTGAAAAGACAGACTGAAGTAGAATCATGCTTTGAACTGAATCCTGATGAAAAAGGCGGACAATTTGTAGTTAAATAGGACCACAGTTGTATGGTCTGACTATGCCTCACAGAGATATATGCTGAAGTGATGGTAATCTTCAGTGGTGAAAGAAGGAGATAAATGAATCATTCCAGGAAAAGTGCTAATGAAGAAGACTGCTGTTTTTATTTTCTGTTATTTGAAATAATAGATGTTGCCTCAGAAATGAATTTATGAAAGAGTAAAACTTCGGTGTGCTCTTTTTTGCTGGTAATTCTGCACAAATACATCGTTTTAGCATTGAACAAATCCTTTAGCAAGGTTTTGTTCGATGGTAAATTTAATCCAGAACTAGTAAACAACTAGGTTTCTTTCAGTTATCAAGGACTACAATTCTCACAGATGATTGCCATTATCGGCCGTTGCCCCTCCCTTCCCCATCCCCTCAAAGCCTTGGAGAATGTAAGATTGCCTGACCAAATCAAAGATACAGTTAACATGTTTCTGTGATGTAGAACAGTGATCCCCAACCTTTTTTACGCCGCGGCCCGGTATCCCCAACCTTTTTTATGGCGCGGCCCGGTACCGGCATTAGCTGGGCGCCGCCATCTTTTTTTGATGAAAAAGTGCTTCCGGTGACCTCACTGGAAGCACTTTTTCATCAAAAAAAGATGGTGGCGCCCAGCTGATGCCGGTACTGGGCCGCGGCGCCCAGCTGATGCCGGTACCGGGCCGCGGCATAAAAAAGGTTGGGGATCACTGCTCTACATGGCAACATGAGATGTAGGTCCAAATATATCTGAATTGTC